TCAGAGAGCAGGGAGTGAGGCTGGATCAAGCACTCTCATTTTTACTCTATGGCTAAGGTAAGTTTCTTATGTTGAGCACTATTCAAAGGACCATCATTACGAGAGTTGCTCTGGGTAGTGTAGTTTACTTAATAGGATTCTTGGCTTCTACCCAGTAGATGTCAATAGCACTTCCCTGCCCAATCAGAGCAGTCAAAAGTGTTGCCATGTGAAAAATATGTACCTGCCTACTTCCTATTAGCCATCTTTTATCTCACTATTTATATTTTATGCTTCTCATATAGAAACTGTAAAATTTAAACTGTGTGTATTATTTAGGGGATCAAGAGACAGAGCAAGGGGAAAGAGGGAGCAGAAAAAAAGAATTAAAATGTGTTTGGTACATGTATTAACTCCCCACAAGGAAAGTAATCATTATTGCAAACATATACCAATAAAAACTGGAAAAAATATTTCCAAACATGACTAAATATCTTTTGATAGAAACATCATCCCAGTAGAGAAACACTTCACCAATATTCTCTGTTTGGAAGAATAAGATTGATTATGTGAATGAAGACATAACTGCACTAATGTCAACACTATCTAGGCCATGCTGTTTTATAGATCTTTATCATCTCTGCCATGCTGCCTAGTGCAAATGAACAACAGTGTCACAGGACTACTGGCGTTTTGGCATTCTTCAAGTAGTCAGTCAGTTCAACATCTGGTCACAAATGTACATTAGCACTGACAGTCAGCCCTTCTTATCCAGGAGCTACACAGCCAACTTGGATGGCACATGTAACTGGGCTGATCAGGTTGCATCCGTACTGAACATGCACAGATGATTTCCTGAATTTCTAAGCAACACGGGATAACTGCTACTTATATCACCTTAAAATTGTATTAGGAACTGTAAGTAATTAGAGAAGATTTATGCATACAGCAGGATATGTATGTGTCATGTGCAAATACTATTTCACTTTATATAAGGTATGTGGACATCCTTAAATTTTGGTATTTACAGAGGTCCTAGAACCAATACCCTGTGCATGTCAAGGCACAACTGTACATGTATTGTATTAGGTACTGAGGGTGTCTGGTTTGTAGTTTCATCTCCTCAACTGCTGAGAGTGCTCCTAGAAGCACTGTCTTCCAGCCCTCTGGGGCTTCCTATGCTGGAGAAGGCTGCCTTGATGAAGGTCACACCTTGTTCAAGGGCGGCCCGAGCCTCATCCCTGTGAGGTATGAAGGTCTACTCATTCCCTCCAACTCACGCCAATGACGGTCCGTGCCAACTCCAAAGCTCCTCCTGAGGCTCTCTCAACTCTTTCTTTTTCCCAGCCCTACCTTTTTCCTTTCCCTTCTACAGATCCTGAACAAAGACACTCTCCCTTAGAGCATTCTGTGTACTAGTCTCCATCTCAGTGGCTGCTTCCTAGAAAATCCAACCCGTGACCTTGTGTAAGTCACAGTTCACATGTCTGGGTGCCTGCCTTCAGCCCCGTGATGCTCTTCTTCCCAGGAGCATTCAGCTTTTGCTTTCTTTCAATGCCATTTTTCAGCCACAGCCCTAAACAAATTGCTTGCATACAATGATCCTGGTGAGCAAAGGTTTAAATCCCAGGAAAAGGGAAAACAGCGGTGCCAGCATTCTGGGGACTTAGAGCAGTTCTTACCGTCATCAGCTCATCACTTGGCTTGCTCACGGGCACAGAGCTTGTGCTGCGCATGGACCAGTGCTACACCCATGACAACCGTTCCTGACACCGAGCCTCCTCTGGGGAGAGAAAACTCACTGCTCTCCTTGTTATTCAGCAAGAATCAGGAAGCTAACACTCCGCAGAGGCAAAGCTGCAGCTTTCAAGTCCACCCTGTGGTCTAATTTCCTGCAGAGAGACTTTGAACTGCTGCTTTTCTCTGTCCAGTTTTAACCCAAATGTTTCACATGTTCTCTCTGACTTCCCTAAATAACTGTGCTTCTTTGCCCTTTTGTTCTCCTTATTTTCACCTCTTAGCCCAAATAGAAAAGGCCTTTCAGGATACGGTCAGGAAAGTAGGCCAGTGCAATGTATGTGAAATTTCCATTTCTGGCAACAGCAGGTCTGCCCTTCAGCAAAATCGCAGAATAAATCAACGTGCTTCCTGGCCCCATCTCCCTTTTCTAGTGACTCTTTCTCTGCCCAGGTCCTGAGGCTGCCTATCACCACATAGGCAAAGAGTCAGGTAGCCCTCTGGCCCTCTGCACTTCCTTGTGTCCCTTTAGGCCAGTAAAGTCTTCCCCTTTTTGTCCCATTTACTTGGCTCGCAGTGGATTCCTGAAAGAGTACGAACATGTCAATCTGAGTGCAGGAAGACTGAGTCATAGTGCTTTTATGGTGTTGTTGGTGTTGTTTTTAATCAATCTCCAAGAATGTCGAGAAACTGATGTTGGCATTTCATGAAACACAGCAGGGAAACTTTCTCCATTCTGGAATCAGGCTTCCACAACATTTTCCTTCTTCATAATTATGAGCCATGAACTCCAGTTTACATGAAGAAGGAGACAAGAACTTCCTCCCTGCAGATTTTTAAGCCATCCTCTTTTCTAATTTCCTATAGAGTAACCTACAGTCATAGTCCTACAGTAACTTGTACAGACAAACCAAATCGTCCTGTTCTCAGGTGTGGAATAAAGTTATTAACCATCTCACTCAATGAAGCAAGCAGAGAAATCCACTACATACAAATAAAACTGAACTGATTTTGCTAAGATAACATGTTGGGTTTGATGCTACTAGGGGGGAAGAAAAACCTGACATACCTTGTTTCTTTTCTCTTTTAAACTGCTACATCTACTTCTGTAAAGCCTATTCAGCACTCATTATGAGGCTTAATTAAAATAAGCTTATAACAAATCAGTGGCTGATCATACAACAGCACAAACATTCCTCACTCAGGGGCGTAAAGGAATTAGTTTTTCACACCCGCCACTCCCGCCATTCCTGCCCTCAAACCTTCACACAGCTGTACCAGCAGGGGCTCTGGAAAGCAAGCAATCCAGGGGAAATCAGAGGAAATCTGAGGAGGGCTGGAATGAGAAAGAAGAAACAGGTATTTCTGGCTCCCACAAGAAATGATATGTAGCCAACCAAAAATAACTCAGAGCAAGCAAGGGAAGTTGAGTCTGTAGCTGGGGCTGAGAAGCCTCCATGTGTGAATCCCAAGCAGAATCCAGGCCCATGCATCTCCAGGAAGCTTGGCTCTGGGGCAGAGAGCCCCCAAATTGGAGGTCACATTCTAGCTCCCTTCTGCTTCCAGCATATCTAAAAGTATCCCCAAATAGGGTCTGAGAAAGTTCCTGAAGATAAAGAACTTAATCCACTCTTTGTAAAATAGGATTGCAGGTTCACTGTTCTCGTCACAGAAACAAAATTTTCAGGACTAATCAATAAGGTGCATGGAAAGGTTTTATTATGTATAAATAAAAAGGTACACAAAGAAATAGGGTGCAGAACCTCAATAAAGAAACGTGCTTATTTTCTGGAACAGGGAATATTTATTTTTCTCTTTAGGGGGCAAAAACCCCAGGAAAAGGTGGTTCGCTCCACCTACCCTCAAAGCTTAGCAGCCCATTCTATAGGAATGGACCGGTTTTCCTTTTGTTTCTCTCTTTCTTTTTTAATGAGTAATTTAAACATCCTGGATTCTTTCATCCTGTTCTTTTAACTTGAGATCCAGTTTCTGCTCTTTACTTTCTCAAGCCAGTTTATGGACTTTCAGTATTCCTTAAAGAATTGTGGGCAATTGGGCCTGGTGGCTCATGCCTGTAATCCCAGCACTCGGGAGGCTGAGGTGGGAGGATCGTTGCAAGTTCGAGACCAGCCTGGGCTACAATGTGAGCTCAAGGCCAGCCTGAACTGCATAGCGAGACCCCGTCTCAAAACAGACAAAAAAAGAAAAAAAAAAAAAAAAAAGAATTTTGGGTGTAACAAATCTGAAAAATAAAAAGGAGCCTACATTTAAGCAAAAGAGTGCCTATGTGGCTCACCCTGGGTAATTTTGACTGAGGCCCGAAGGTTGCAGTCTTTTTAAAGTACAATTTTCGGTTGTGCTCTCCTTGTCTTCTATGTACCTTTTATTTCTTCTATCTTACCTCAAAAGGACAAACACAGGTCTCTACAATGCCCTGTGACAACAGCCAAATAAACACGGGTACTGAAATATTAGCCTGCGGACACTCGTGGCATACCAGTTTGTAAGAGACACTTGTGATCACCTTGTTTCTTAGTGTTTAAATTTGTTTTCCATATTAAATCCTTTGTTTTCCTCAAACAGCAATCATCATAAATATACATGTGACTGACCTACTTGGAGCCATGGTGATACAAGCAACAAGCTTATTGTATCTTCCACCTCCTTATTCCGAAGTTTCTTTTTTCTCTTTCCTTAATAATTTTCTTAGTTCTGGTGGTATTTAATTCAAGTGCAGACTTTTTGGCATGCTAGGGTTTGAACCTAGGTCCTTGCACCTGCTAGGCAAACACTGTAATGCTGAGCTACAGCTCCAGAAATGATCCTTCTGTTTCAGCCTCCTGTGTAGCTAGGATTATAGATGTGTGTCGCTGAACTCAGCCCCATCAGTCTTTGGCCGATATTTTTGTGCTATTCCTGGTTGTTTGTATTTCAGAAGATTCTTGAAGGAGGAATCATAAGATACCTGTTTCCTAAATCCTTTCAAAACTATTTAACATGGAATCTATATTTAGTGTCTAATTGGGTCCTCTGGGACAGGGTCTGCACCTTTGCTGTCACTTGCAGATAACAAATGCTTGACCGTGGTCTTACTTGAGCTATATTTATTTCACAGAAGTATTAACTTTAAATTTGAACTTTTGTGCTTTAAGTTTGGTTTTTCTCCTATTTTTGCAATTTCTCCATGAAGACTGCTGCTACCCAGAGCCCTGAGTATACAGGATGTTTCTCGCTGAGCTGCTCAGTATTCCCAAAGCTCTTCCCACCAGAGCCCAGCCACACATATACCTTGGGCTGCCATTAAACCATAGTTTGAGTTTCTGGGTTTCACGTAGCTTCTAGTTTCACTGGAAATATAGTCTGAATGTTGGAGATCTGCAAGTCAAGAGGAAATGCACTGCTAGCATCATTTTCTCTTAAAAGATGATTCCATTTTTTCTTAGAGTTTCTCCTCCCCCTGCTGAGATGAGTCATCCAGTTCCAACATTCTCAAAACACATCAGGTAATGCAGTCCAATGGTTCATGAAATGAAAGAAACCACACATTTTGGGTGTGCTCTTTACCTTCTTTCCATATCTACTTGATGAATGGAAAGGAACAAATAATTTTGCCAGATCCACTTCACTATGTAAAAAAAAAAAAGTAAAAAAATCATTTTTCTCATGTTAAGCTACTGACAGTTGGGAATCATTAGTTGGGGCAACTTCTTATCACTGGGACACATTCCGCAACCATAGTAACTTAATGAAGGGTTTATTCTGGCCTGTGCTTTTAATCAGTGGCTAGCTGGCTCTAAGAACAAAAGGCATGGTGGAAGGGCAGGGCAAAGTAAAATTGCTCACATCAAGATGATCAGGAGTCAGCAAGCAACAGAAGCATTGTCTCCTGAACAACCAGAGTCACAAGTAAAACTAAAGAAGAAATTAGACAGCTTTTACAGTTGAATGAAAATGACAGTATAACATACCCGAACTTATGGGACACAATGAAAGCAGTCCTAAGAAGGACATTTATAGCAGCAAACACCCATATCAGGAAAACAGAACAAGTGCATATAAACAACTTAAAGATGAACCTCAAACTTTTAAGAAAAGAACAGCAGGACAAGCCAAAAGCTCATATATTGGGAGGAAATTATAAAGATCAAAGTAGAAATGAATGCATTATAGATTAAAAACAATAACAAATACAAAGAATCAATGAATCAAAGACATGTTCATTAAAAGATTAAATAAAATCAACAAAACTTTATAGAACCACATCAAAAAAAGGAAAGAAAGGACTCAAATCCATGCAATTAGGAATGAAAAGGGTGGAATTGTAACAGAGTTTGCAGAAATCCAGATGACCTATACTGAATTTGAAAATTTGTATTCAGTAAGATGGAAAATGCAGAAGAAATGGACAAATTCCTAGAAACATATGAATTACCAAAGCTGAATCAAGAAGATATGAAATCCTAAATAAACCAATATCAATCAAATTGAAGATGCAATTGAAAAACTTCAACAAAGAAAAACACAAGCCTTGATGGATTGACTGCTGAATTCTATAAGAATTTAGAGAAGACCTAACACCACTACTTCTCAAACTCTTTAACGAGATTGAAAAGGAAACAATACTCCCTAATTCCTTCCGGGAAGCAAGCATTACCTTGATACCAAAACCAGAGAAAGATCCAACTAAGAAAGAGAATTGCAAGTGAATTTCCGTAAAGAACACAGCCACAAAAGTCCTCAGCAAGGTACTGACAAACAGAATACAGCAAATTATCTAGAAGATCATACACCATGATCAAGTGGAATTCACCCCAGGATGCAAGGATGGTTCAACATATGTAAATAAGTAAATGTAATACACCATACTAACAGAGCCAAGGACAAAATCATATGATCATCTCAATAAATGCATAAAAATCTTTTGATAAAGTCCAGTGCCCATTCATGATAAAAAAAAAAACCCTACAGAAAATTGGAATAGGTGGTCTTTATCTCAATCTGATAAAAGTTATCTGTGACAAACCAACAGCCAACATCATACAAATGAACAAAAACTGAAAACATTTTCTCCAAAATCAGGAACAAGACAAGGATGTCTGCTATCTCCACTCTTCTTCAACATAGTCCTGGAAATTTTAGCCACAACAATCAAAAGAAGAAAGAAATAAAAGGAATACAGATAGCAAAGGAAGAAGTTAAATTATTTATCTTTGACATGACATTCTACATAGAAGACCCCAAAAACTGCATTAAAAAACTGGCAGTATTAATAAGTAAATTCAGGAGCATACTGTACAGAGTCAACACCCAAAAATCAACAGCCTGGCAATCATTTGAAAACCCTCAGTGAGGCCCCAAGGGCATGAGAGTCTGTGCCCAGTGACCGGCCTATACCCAGGACACTTTGCTGAGGCTTCTGTTTTAGAGTATTCACCCAGTGATCCACCCACACCTGGGAACTATATCTGAGGCCCTGCAGTGATCCACCGACACATGGGAACCATCGGGAATCCCTGACCAGCAACCAAAGTCATCTGGGAACCCTCAGTGAGACCAGCAGGAACAGGGAGTCTGCAACCAACAACCTGCAGTCATCCAGGAATCCTTAGTGAAGCCTTTGGGGACAAGGAGTCAGCCCTAGTGACATGTCCACACCTAGGAACCATCTCTGAAGCCTGCAGGGACTGAGAGTCTGCACCCAGTAATCAGCAGGCATCCAGAAACCCTCGGTGACATCCACAAGGACTGGAAATCTGCTCCTAGGATTCTGCAGTCATCTGGAAACCCTTGGTGAGGCCCACAGGGACTGGAAATCTGTATCCAGTGACCCACCCACACCTGGGAACCATCTCTGAGGAATTCAGGAGTCTATTCCCAGTGACCTGCAGTCATCTAGGAACTCATGGTGAGACCTAAAGGGACTGAAAAGCTGTATCTAGTGACCTGACCACATGCAGGAACTGTAGGTGAGGTTAATGGGGACAGGGAAGTTGCATTCAATGACCCATCTACACCCAGGAACCATCTCTGAAGCCACAGGGGCTTGGATCTGAGGCCAGACACCCATAGATATCAGCAGCCCTCAGTAAGGCTCACTGCTGGATGGTTTGCCAGCACAGGAAGCCACTAGGAGTTGATAGCCAGCTGATTTGAAGAAACACAGAAAAATGCCAAAATGAATGAAAAAATGAAAATACAAACTTCCTGCCAATCCAGATCAAGTACAGACATACACATGGATGAATTTGGGAATAACACACCTGAAATTTCTGAAACGATAGCATGGAAGTAAAAGAAACAACTCCAGGAAGCTGTGAAGAAAATCAGATCAAAAATAATCTCTCAGGTAAAAAAAGAAATAAACACAGTGAAAAAATTGGTGAGTATAACCAAAAAGACATAGATAAACAAATAGAGTTGCACAGGAAAATCACGGAAACCTTGAGTAAACGATGATGGAAACAATTAGAATACAAGACACAGATCCAAATCCAGAGATATTCAGGAAATCAAAAATTCCATTGAAAGCTAACTAAACCACAAAAATGAAATTGAAAACAAATTCTCAGACCTTGAAGACAGGATTGTTGCTAGCGATCATGTTACAAATGATCTCTTAAAAATAACAGTAATCAGGAAACAACAATTAAACTGGCAATATGATGCAAAGAGAAACAATATAAAGCTGATAAGTGTCCATGTAAAGGAAGGAGACAACATAAATGACATACAAAGATTATTTGCATAAGTAATAGCAGAAAATTTCATAAGCATCAAAAAGGGCATGACATCAAAATAAGTAAAGCATATAGAACTCCAATTAGCCATAGCCCAAATAAATCTACAACTAGACATATAATAATCAAGGTTCCAGAAATTCAGCTCAAGAACAATATTAAAAGCTGTTTGAGAAAACAAGCAGATCAGAATCACAGCAGATTTCTCAACACAAACTATCAAGTCAAGAAGAGGGTAGAGTGAAGTATTATTCAACCATTGAAAGAAAACAACTTCCAACCCAGGTTGATGTATCCTGAAAAACTGTATTTCAAAATCAATGGAGAAATACAATACTTTCACCAAAAAGAACAACTGAAGAACTTTATGGTCACCAAATCAACCCTACAAAGAGTACTGAAACATGTTCTAGAAAGAGATAAAAATAACCACAATTCAAAGAACAACAATGGATAGAAACCAACAAGTAGGACAATCAATTAAACAAGGAGAAGAAGTAGGTAACTAATAGCAAAAGATAGCATGACAAAGATAAGCCAATACATATCAGTTATAACCATTAATGTAAATGGTCTTAATTTACCAATCAAAAGAAACATACTGGCAGGGCAGATTAAGAAAAAAACCAATAATATGCTATATACAAGGAACATATTTACATCAAAAAAATGTATAGACTGTAAGTCAAAGGATGGAGCATAATACTCCATGTGACTGGAATCCAGAAAAAAAAGCAGGGGTAACTATTCTGTTTACAGACAATCTGAACATCAAACTAAGAATGATCAAAAGAGATAAAGGAGGTCACTATATACTTATCAGAGGAAAAATTCAAGAGGAAGAGATAATAATCACAAATACGCATGCACCAAATGTGGGAACACCCAACTATGTAAGACAAATATCAATAGACATGAAAATTCAAATAAGTAATAATTCAGTTATAACAGAGGACCCTAATACTCCATTTTCACAAAGAGACAGATGAACTAGATAAAAAATCAGCAAAGAAATAACACAACTAAATCAAACTTGTCAACAAATGGACATGGTAGACATGTACAGAGTGTTCCACATAACAACATAAGAATACACATTCTTTTCAGCTGCACATGGAACATTGTCTAAATTAGACCACATATTAGCCCATAAAAACTGCTTAAGTAAAGGCAAAGGAACTGAAATTATCCCATGCGCATTATCTGACTACAGTGCAATGAAATTGGAAATTAATGATAAAGGAAATTTCAAAAGCTCCATAAATATATGGAAATTAAATACCACCCTACTGAACAACAATGAGTCAAAGAGGAAATTAAAGAAGAAATTAGGCAATAGGTGCAGTCAAACAAAAATGCAAATAAAACTGACCAGAACCTGTGGGATTCAACAAAAGTAGTTCTCAGAGGGAAACTTATAGTGTGTGAATTTCCATATCAGGAAAATAGAAAGAGCACAAACAAACAACTAAATGCTGCACCTCAAATTTCTAGAAAAAGAACAATTCAAGCCCAAAGTCAAAGAACAGATGAAATTATAAAGATCAGAGCAAAATTAATACAATTGAGACTAAGAAAACAATAATAAGAATTAATGAATTCAAAAGTTGGTTTTTTTTAAAGAATAAATAAAGTTGA